CATTGGCTGACATGTGCAACTGCTCCTCCTGCGCCTTTTGTTCATCAGTTGCATATTGAATCACTGCTTCAGCATCTTTGTCATGCAATGCACTTTCTTCAATTGGTCCCAGAGGCACCTCAAACGCAACTGACTTGGGCACTGGTTTTCTCATAGTTGGCAAGATTCTTGCTCCAAACCCAGCTTTGTACTGCCATGAAAAACACCGACAATGCAAATAATACGCCATGTGACTTCTCCATTCAGTGTTGATTCTGCGCACGCTTCTCGTAAGGAGAATTGATTGTCCATCAAATGCCACATAGCTGTTTTGAATGTCAGCTTTCCCAAGAAATAACATCCTCTTCCATTTGGCAGTCGCTTTTGTGGTTGGAATCACATAGCCAAAAATTGGCTCCCCAAACTCGCACAACTCACCAGCATATGTACGACCAAAAGCCAGTTCATAAGGTGTGGCACCTCTGATAACTGAAAACCTTGAAATAAGCCATGCTGAATGTCTCAGGGCCCAACTCCAAATTGCGCTCGATGTCTCCAGCTGAATTCCAAGTCTTCCATGAACATGGTGCATCAACGTACATGCCAAAGCTCTGACTCTGCCAACAGCATTCTCTGCAAGGCTGTTGCCACCTTTGTCATATGCCACAGAGCTACTTTCACGTGTCTTAAGGCCCATACCTTGACGTGTCTTTAGCACCAATCGCTTCAATTGCAGTATTGAAGGTTCATTGTCGCAATGCAAAATCACTTCTGAATGCCCTAACATTTGCACAAACTTGATGATCTCCCTGTTTGCATGATCCAGCTGAGATTTCCCTTCCAAAGGGATGCATGACACAAATCCTGTATGGCTGTCCATCACTACCAGTGCAGTTATTGTATCGGGATTGCCTGAATCACCAGCCTGACCATCAGATTTTGCGAAGAAGTAGTCAAAGGATATGGTGGGCACTGCTCCTGCATGCGACTCACCTGAACGTTCATGGCGATCAGAACGTGCCCTGTGCGCAAGACATGAAGGGCACCACTGCTTGTATGGCACATGTGTCAACCTATGTTGTGACTGCTCATACTCACTAGGCACTTCTGCAGAAACTGGTGAAAGTGGATGTCGTTCCTGCTGTTCAAATGCCTCTTTTGCTGCCGCCATCACTGATTCCAACTCAAGTTTCTTTGAATGTTCAATCAAACGTTTGAAACACTTCTGCTTTGACCCTGAGCTTGAAATCCCATAGAATGAGCACCCAGCTCGTAGCGTGGCTAGCGAACTGGATTCCCTGAGAACAGTTCCATTTACGCAAACTTCATCCTCTGCAATCGGCTGCACCACAATTTGACCTTCAGGAACATCTCTCCCTTCAATGGGAGGCTCAGCATCCATCACTTCAATGTCATGGTCTGCATCTGCTTCAACAGGAAAAACTTCATCTGGCTCATCAACCAATGAAAATCCCATTGCACGTGGATCCTTCTCTGATTCTGTGATGATCGTGATAATGTTTCTACGTCCAACCATGTCATGAAACTGAGCATCCAACTGCACAAGTCCCTCAAGCATTTCACAGAGTTCCATCACATACCACCTTTTGTTGTTTCCTTCAACCAACGTTGTCCTGTAAAAACGTCCATTCAAATCTGGTCTTACAAGCAATGGATCTTGATGGTGGTCTGCATAGTGACGCCCAATGCCACAACCGTTTGAATCCAACTGCCAGCCTACTGAGCCATTGACGATGCTCTCATCAATTTCTGCCTGGATAGCCCTGACATGAAAACTGCCTGGAGAAATGCAATGTTCAGTCAAGACTCTGATGCTGCCATGCACAACCATTGATTTGTTCTGCAACTCTAAGGGAACTGCCGCGCCTGCTATGCTGTGAACAAGCATTTGTTGGCCGCCATCAATGCCCCAACCGTTTTCAAGCATCTTTCCAAAACTCAATATTGGTTGAGACACCCTGTCTGAAATCGCAACCGTTTCACGCAGCAAAATGACACGTCCAGTCATGTCCCTCAAAGCTATCTCCATGTCCTTTGTGGCTTCAACTGGAATTTCAACTCCCTGTGCATCAACCAGGCGTCCAACTGAGGCTACAGCAGGTGTTCCTTTCTCCAACAGGCTAGATGGAAAGATTGAGGCGTCTGCCCCACTGTCCAACAAGATATCATGCAGCTCTTCCAAACGCTCACTGGCCATGCTGTCATGTGAAATCGTACGCACAGCACCACTGAAAAAAAACTTTCATCACAAGCGTCCCTCAAAGAGTCACCAATGTAATGGTAAATTGCATGAACACTTCCATGAAAACTGGCAGGGCTTGAATCACGCATGTCAAACACCAATCCATTGTCACTTGAACCAGTTGGCAACTCACAAATCCTAGCAACCTTGTACTGAGTCGACGACGATGGAGGCACTGGATGCTGTTGTTGAGAAACACTGGACATCCCACCAAGTGAAGAAGATGGTGATCCCTGAACTGCCGTGGAACCTGCAGCTGCTTCTGAACCAACCTGTCTCACCTGACCAGAATGCCAGCAGTCTTTAGCCATGTGACCAGTGCGTCCACATACGTAACATGCTTTTGAGTCTCCTTTTCCTTTTCCCTTGGATCGATCGTTTTGCAAACTGACGTTTCCCTTTGAACCCTTCTGATTCTGATCTGAAGGCTTTCCTTTTCCTTTTCCATCTTTGTTCTTTCCTTTTCCTTTTGACTTTCCCTTTGAATTGTCTTTTGATTTTCCCTTTGAACCTTTTGATTTGCCCTTGGACTGCACACGGTCTATTTCCATTGGAACTGGACCTTCAGCAGCACTCATTGCACTGTCTGTACCCAGCACCATCTGCTCAGACCATTTTGTAGTGCTCGAATCGTAGAGCAACACCATCTCACGCACCTTTGCATATGTGGTTGATTCATTGACCTGAAGTTGTAGCCATACCTTCAGCTGTCCAGTCAGTGACCTCATCAAAATGGCCGTCTTGAGATCTTCATTGAGTTTTGTCCCAAGCTTCTCGTACTCTGCAAAGGCATGCTCCAAGCGCAACAACTGCTGCATCAAAGAAAGCTTACCTGTAAACGCAGGCCAATTCATGATGACATTCAAAAGCCCCATGCTTCTGTTCTTTGAAACCGGCTCATTCTGCTGAATCAACATCCGGTATGCTTCCAGCCCGTTTGAACCTGTCACGTTCCTAACCACCAGCAAAGGCCTCTGACGAAGCAATGATGAAAGAAGGCTGTACAGAAAATGATTTCTCTGCCGCTCTGTATCTGTAAAATCCACAGGATCAACAGCTTGATTGGGGTTTGCACGCAGTTGTTCTATATCATCTGCAAATTTGGCATCTATGGAGGCAACGTACTGCTCGAATGCCCATGACCACTCACGCCATGCAGCTATCTCACTTTCTCTATTGGTATGCTCAAACGTTGGTGGCTTTGGCAACAGTCTCCACCATTGCTTGTTGTCATCAGTTGAAGTTCTGGAAACGCCTTCAACTGCTCTGGTAGCTGCTTGAGCAGCTAGGGCAGCTGCTTCAGCTGCTTGCACCATACGTCGAGCCACCTCCATGCCATCCACACCTTCAACACCAGGTGTAGCTGCTACTGCAGCTGGTGATCCACCAGCAGAAGGACTACCAACCTGCGGTGAATCCATGTCCCCAATCTCAGCCTCCTCTTCAAAGAAATTGTCAAAGGAAAATCAAATCTCACACTTTCGTTCTGCTGCAAATTCTCTGTCAACGCCAGGAAAACTGTACCCACAATCCAGCACCTGTATTTTCCAGAACCTGTGTTTAGACCTTAGGCCTACCAGTATATATCCAGAATTCCAGTGTTTGCCAGCTGTATTCTAAATCCCAGCTGTCGTCCAAATGCAGCTACCTCCAGAAAGGTTCAGCACCAGGAAAGCGTCTGCCCGCAAGCGGGCTCCGCTACCATGCAAAGACTCAGGCGAAAACGCTGCAGTCTATTTTCACTCGTGCCAAAAGGGTCTCACAAGTTTCAACTGCACATGCTGTTCAAATGCAACTCTCTTATCGATTTGTGCGTGTCATCCTGGCACATGTGAGTGGGCTCCACAACTCTCCACAGGTAGAAGCAAGCCGAAGCCAGAGCCGTTTGTCATGCACCACTGTCAGTTCCAGCACAGAAACACCATGCATTTCAGACACAATCAACATGCCTGCAGCCGTGCTTTTTGCAACACATAGCTCCCTCGGAGTGCTGGATCTGGGGGCAAACAAGACGGTAATAGGTAGTGAATATGTGTCTGATTTAATTCAGGGCCTGCAGCCAAGCACTCGCCAAAAGCTGTACCGGTGTCCGTGTGAAATCACTTTCAAGTTTGGAAATCAAGGAACATTGACCAGTTCCCAGGCATTGGTAGTACCTGTAGGAGATTTTCACCTCAAAGTTGCAATTGTCCCCGGTAGCACACCTTTCCTGATCAGTAACACTATGATGCGAGCGCTTCAGGCCAAGATCGATTGCCACCACCAGAGACTGTCAAGCCCATGGTTTAAGAATCCAGTGCCACTTCAGTTGACCAACAAAGGACTTTTTTTGTTGATTTGAATGACATGATTCAAGCGGCCGACAGTACCAATCCGAAGTCCTCCAAAGTGTCTGCGAAGACGGGCACTTGCCATGAGACTTTTGCATCCGAGGACTGTGTAAATAAGCAGCCGCCGATGTCAGCCAATTCAACCGTTTGTCATGAGAAATCAACGCCACAACATGAAGGTTCAATTGAAGAAATCAAGAAACTCACAGGGTCACGGAAAGTTAGCCAGTTGATTCAAACATGGGAAACAAAGGGAAAATCATTTGAGATGTCAGGGAACTTGGCTCAGAACAGCCTATCACCAGGAAACAGATCCGTTGAACACATCAGCCCTCTCAGTCATGTCGATGAGCCAGCGATTGAGCAAGCTGCATCAGGAGGTGACCGTGAAGGGGGAGGATCTGTCGCACCTCACACTGGAGGAGCTATCAGCCGAGAAGATCAAGTTTGGGGAGAAGCACCAGGGCGCCACCATGGAGCATGTCTGGAAGACCGATCCAGAGTGGATCAAATTCATGGTGAATCGATACGACAAGTGTGAAGCCAGAACATCGCCGGCGGGTGTCATCGTGATCCAATGCCCAGCCGCCGATCCACACCTCATCCCCATCAGCACGGGCATCTGTGCGGTAGAGCTCCCGCTCTTCACTCACTTTCCTCCCAAGCGCCTGAAGCCGTCCATCCCCGTCCAATGCTGTGCACAAGAATCACAAGAAGCTAAAAATCAGCTTGAGTGCTTTGGGCAACCTGGCAACACGCATCTTCCCTGTCACAGCTGCAACCCACGCATATATGGGACCCAAGAAAGGTCTTAAATGTCCTAATGCTGCTAACGCAAATGACAAGCGACCCAACACCGCCGACATATCTGCAACTTGCACCTGACCTTCATTGCACGCTTGCCGAAGCCAACCCACCAGCCATTGTGATCTTCGCTCGCTGATCCCCAGCTTGCATCCGTCTAGGCAGATTTGAAATCCAACCCATTCAAATTGCAATCCTCCATGAAATTTATGCCACGCAAAAGGCAATCCCAAGATTTGCAAGAAATAGATGGACAGCACGATCAATTCTAGGCCTTTGCAGTCTCTGGTGAGCCACAGCAAATCATCTACGTACGCTAACAGAAAAATCTCTGCTTGCCCAAGCAAATAATACACTGCCCTTCCTACTCCACCAAGCAAGCGGCTCCAGTAGTATGCAGCAGAAGCAATGCCGAACGCACCGACCTTGTTCAACCACAAGGCGTCGCTGTTGCCGATGCCCGTTCGGCACGCCAAAAGTCCCCAATCCTCACGCGCGATCTTGACCAGTCTATGTGCACGTGCTACATCACCAGTGAGCCCAAAGAAGACTCCGGGCAATTCCTGCATGACTGCCGCCACGTCACCCGCGGTTGGTGACTGAATTTGGTCTCGCACTCGGATTGCAGGATTCACGCCTATCCCATGCGTGCCGTCATGCACCACTCTATAAGCACCTCCCTTTTTTTCAATTGCCCCAAGTGAAGCCACGGCAAGCTGCTGTCCATATTCTCTCTGCGCCTCCTCGAGCGGTACCTCAATCATGGCTCCCAATTTCTCTTCTTCCAAGAATTGCTGATGCACATGCTCGGCGTGTTGTCGCGCAGACAAATAATTCTCGCGGCAGACCCCAAGCTCAAAATCACCCAGTGCATACTTTCGCCATCTGTTCTTACGGTTGAAAACAGCAGGTACATGCGGCAGTTTTGATTTATAGCCAACTTTGACACCCTTGGCAAAGGAATATTTGCTAGAGTAAAATGCTCTGCAGTCCGGGTCCCCAGAAATCCGCAGCAATTCTTCAATCGCAGCAAGAAAGAACGGCTGGTCCTCTGGCGTCTCTCTGACTGGTAGCTTGCATCCAGCCAAATCATTTCCAAAGCGGTGAAAAGAAGTTCGCGGCCATCCTGAATCAGCTCATCTGAAAATGGACAATTATGCAAAGTACCTGTAGCAAGTTTGAAAGCAAGCGCACGTGCATCCAACTTTTGCGCCAAGAGTTTGCGCAACTCCTTGCCCAAGCTCTTTGCAAATCCAAGCGATGATGTGTCTGCTGCACATCTTCTTTTTGAAGGTAGCCAGCGCCCAGGGGAGCACAAGCCGAACCCATCGGTGAATTCCATCCTTTTCCCAAGCATGCGTGACACCAACGGTGGCCCTCGCCCCCATAAACCAGCTCCAAGCTTTGGCTTTTGCGCTTTGTCGTCATCTTCATCTGAAGACACTTCTGATTCTGCTAGGCCTTCCGAATCTTGCTGGAAGTTGCTCTGCCGCAGCCATTCAGCATCATCTTCTGTCTCGGACTCACGGGTCCTTTTCACAAGGCTTGCCTCATGCGAGCATGTACCTACAGTACCTGAACACGTGACAGCACTTGGGCCGCTGCTTGCAACACTCATCCCCACCAAAGGCAAAGCAGCGGACTTGTCAAGAACGTCTAGTCATTCAACGGCACCTTCACGCTGCACCTGGGGGCACTTGACGTAAGGATGATCTTCGAAGCAGCGCTGGCAAACATGAGTAAAAGGACAATTCACACGGTCACAGCCTTTCTTCTTGTTGTACGCAAAGCACAAACTTTTCCCGCCCGGGCTACGGCGGCTCTTGTAGATTGACTTGATGACTCCTTCTTTCCCTTTGCCTTTTCCCTTGCCCTTTGAACGAATGAAAGGGTTGTGATCGCCCACAGGCCGGCCCCCAGCGCTTACAGCTGTGCTGGCCGGAGCGGCGGCAGCAATGGTCAGCGGCACAATGAAGAAAGAGCTGGTGAGGCCTGATGCCTTGCAAGCTGCTGACAATGCCATGCCCAAATCGGCTGCCTCGCCGTCACGCACCAACTTGTAAGCGTGGCTACGCACCTCTGCCTCATAAGCCAAAACAATGTTCCAAGGTGGGCTGTAGCCATCAGCCAGGCGCAACCCGGCAATCTTGGAGCCGAGCACATGGTCAGACAGCTTGCGGAACGCGTCCACACAACGACTTGGCAGCCATGTACGGTTGGTGTGGCGGCTCCTGGCCATTTCCCACACCAAGCCAATGCGCCGGTGACGTAAGCGCAAGTCTTCCGGAGAACTGGGAGGAGTTGTCATTGCCTTGCCTGGCTTGAACCGCACCGTGTTGGAAATCGGGTCGGCAATCAAAGCCGAGTACGCTTCCTTGCGGCAATCTTCCACAGAAGTCACTTCTCGTAAGTCCTCAGCCTCCGGGCAGTTGTCTTCTACCTGCTCAAGCTTCTGCGCGAGCAGCGCCTTGGATGGGATTTCTTTGTCGCATAGCTTGCCATGGGATGCTTCCACCGCGAGGCGCATTGATGCATGTTCTGTGGTGGGCAACAATCTCGCGCCTACACCTAGCTTGGCCTCCGATTTTTGTTTCTCTTGCACTGACAACTGTAAGCGGCAAGCATCCCAAACATGGAGGAGCAAGGCCATGCTTTTGCGGTTCTCGGGGCTTGCTGTGTAGTCTAAAGGCAATTCCTCCCGCAACGCTTTGCGGACCGCTTCTTTGCTATCATCCAAGCCGGCAAACACACGCACAGAGTCATAGCCACATTTTAATACCAGAACTTGCACCGGTGCGGGGACGCCAGCATCATCCAGCAGGAATTTCAATTCCGACTCCGCCTGTGCTAAAAGATCCAGATCCGACTTCTCCATGATGAAGACCTGCCAAAACAAGACACACATGTATACTTGAAAGGCAATGCTCAAATTACAGAATTCGTTGACGAGCCATCCGGCCCCTCAACTCCCTACCAGACCTGGAGGGATGAAATGCTCAGCAGAAGCCGACCCAAAATTCTTACTGCGCGCACAACCGCTAGAGCCACTCTCCGGCGGACACGCATCCATTCAGGTCTCTGCTGGCCATGCGTGAGTCATCACGTATATTCTGTTTAACCTATAGGAGACACACGCAACCTAGCATCTTCTGTCGAATTTGCTTCACTACTAGGAGACATACGTAACCCAGCAAAGAGCAGCTATTGCCAAGGACATGACAATATTACGAACCAGCCCACACGTCGACACGTACCGGCTGAATTGTGGAACCAAGGGGGGGGAAGAGAAGCGCTTGATCCGGCTGGTTGCAGCCTTTATTCAGAATCAGTCAAGCTTTCACTGCTGGAAGATGCATCGAGGCCGCTGCTGCTGCTGCTGGATGACTCCACTGGATGGGAGCCATGGCGCCAACAATGTTTGCAAGCGAAATGGTACTCGGCGCCTTCCAAGCTCCAGAGGGGGATCATTTCCCGGACTTCACCAGCCGAGGTGGGGCACCCGCCCCTTCTGTGCAGCCGTCGCAGCTGACGCTTTCCAACAACGGATACGAAGAAAGGAGCGGACTCTGCGGCATCCCTTTCACCCAATGCCGTAGAGGGCTGATGCATATCCAATGCATCGTCGCCAGGCACCACGCCTATAACTGGCAAGCAGGCAGAACTTAGGCAGATTTTGAAAGCGCGTAACGTAAATCTGAAAGCTCTGCATCACAAAAACTACAAGTTTTGCGCAAGTGGGAAAGCAACTCCTCAATGCCAAAATTTAGGAGATCACCAGAAACGTCCTCGCGCAGACCTTGAACTGCTTTAGCTTGCAAGCGCATCACAATCACCCGGGCTGTCCGGATGTATTCATCGCTTGAGGATGAAGCGCGCCAGCGCCCCAGGAAGTCCCGCTGGTCCGGCGGCACTTCCATGGCTGCAAGCAAAGAAATGAGCCAATTACGTTCTGAATGTTCTGTCCAAAAAGAAACTGCATCAGGCGAATTGAAAAGGTATTGGTCGGAAAACTGGCAGTTGCCATCCACACAAAACCAAGGTACGCAGAGATCGCCACAAAGATTTTGACATAGTCACGACCTGATTATAAGATGCCATGGCCTGCCGGCAAGCCGACCCGTCGCCTGTTGGAAGAGGCAGAAAATAATCTCGGTCAAAAGCCATACCCTCGGATTGCCAAAGCTGAAAACCAATTTCAAGCCAATCAGGTTTTACCAAGTACGCTCTGCGGCTCACGAAAATGGGAAGAAACCTGACCCGCCTGGCCCACTGGTCTTGGTCCGGTCCAGGCGGCCCTCTAAACCAGCAACAGATAGAAATAGAGAGGATGGATTCAAACCTTCAAAATCGGAATGCCGCCCTGCGGCCCACAATTTGAGCAATTTGTAGAAAGCAAAGCCACGGGTGTACTGGCCAGCAGCCGCATCGCAGACAGTTACTTCCAATGCAGCAACGATTGCAAGTGGGAGCGCGGGAGCCTGGTGCTTTGGGGGGGCGCCATGCTGAAGGTCCATGGTGAGCTGGTTCACTGTATTGCGCACAACGGGCAACTCCGACAAGCGATCACTAACAGCTACGCCACCAACCTTTTCAATGAAAGCTAGAGACTGCAAGATAGCACCTGGCACTGATGGACCACATGGTTCGCATCGCCGCTCTTCTAAGTAGCTGAGAATCACTCCCACGTGCTGCGGCCAGTTGCTATCCGACGTTGCTTTGCTGTAAGCTTTAATCCTGCGGGCTTCTCTGAAATGTTTCCGCAAACTAGCACTACGCACAGTACCTAGAGCATTGGCAAGGGCATTGTCTGGGTTGGAAGAAAGAAGCACCTGCTGAACCACCGGCATGCCAAGTTCACGCAGAAAATCACTCAGCGAAGCTCTCCAGCGCATTAGCTCCTTCTTTTCTTGCTCTGCTCGAGGCAACAGAGCCTTTTGTGTGCCGGGCCGACACTTGGTCAATCCCCGCCGGATAGCTCCTGAAGACTTCAGCAGCCAAACGCGATCCGGAATGACCAGAGGCTGGGCCCCCCGAGCACACTTGGATTGTATCGCCAAAGCTTGCTGCTCCGGAAACATGGACGCTCGACGCTTCTGGCGTCGCGCAGATGGGTTGATCGCTTGTTTCTGTAATAGGAGCAAAGCTTGGACCACTTCACATGGGACAGGCTCCTGAACTCCCAACTGGCACAGGCAAAGTCGCAGATCGGACTCGTCTGCAAACAAATCCGCCAGCACTTCGCATGGAGGAGGAGCACCCGTGTCATCGCCCAAGCCCAACCGCACGCGCTTAGGCAATGAGGCCCAAAGCGCGGAAGGGTTTGCACTCTCCATCTCTACTCACTAGGTTGATTCTAGGATTACACAAACCGGACCTACTCGTATTCCAACTACATCACAAAAGGGATCAGCGCCCAGCTCATTCTTTTTTTGCAACTGGAGAAACAGGCACAGGTGCCCGGCCCACACGCCGGGGATCACAGTCATCGACCGCCCCCAGGGTGGGTGGGTGGGAACAACAAACACACCTTGCAGTTGTCTATGCACACAAGCAGCACCAATCTTGCTGCTGCTATATCAACAAGCTCTACAGGCACTATAACAAGCTTTCTACACAAACGCGATCTGTCCACACTGCGATTGCCAGGCCCAAGGAATATCAATACTATACATCCTAGAACAAGACCATTGAGAGAGAAGGGTTGTCTATGCCCAAGCCCAACCAAACCGAAGACAACCACCCAACAGCAAGAAGGAAGAAAACAAAAACCTCAAAGATCTTGAGCAAGCACAGCCCAACAGTAGTCGTATAAATAACAAAGCCAGGCAACTGCCCAACTTTCAAATGAGCAACTGGTATGCACATAAGCAATCACACAGATCACACAAACACTTCCCTAGCAAGTGGCAGCTAGTGCGAATCCTACTTAGTTGTTCACAAGTGATCACTACGCAGGGTTCTTTCAGCGCAGCACAAAGAAAATCCCACGTAAACAATACCATACATCAAGTGGCAATTAAGTATCACAAACAAAGAGCTTGCTCAAACCCTTTCACACATCCAAACTGAAGATGCATAACTAAGCCCAAAAGAAAACCAACAGCCTTGCCTACTAACCACAGAGCTGACTCAAGCGCACGCAACTTTTCATCATCATTGGTGGAGCAAAAGATCACCATAACCCCACAGGCTGATACCAGCCCCTGGACATTTCCCCAAACCCCACAAGCTGATGCCAGCCCATGGTCTAAGGTCGAGGCGAGGATACCTCCCCCCAGCAATACTACTGCAGGGAGGGCGGGTGGAGAAAACAAAAACCTCAAAGATCTTGAGCAAGCACAGCCCAACAGTAGTCGTATAAATAACAAAGCCAGGCAACTGCCAACTTTCAAATGAGCAACTGGTATGCACATAAACAATCACACAGATCACACAAACACCACTTTGCACCTGTTGCAACATCTATGATGACTGCGCCGATGCTGGCACATCCGTTTTCCCAGGCACCATCCGTAAATATCAACACCGGACGCCGCTCGCTAAAAACTCTGAGCTTCCGGGGCACACAACTGCTCAAAACTCCTGTAGCGTAATCACAAAAGTCAGCCAGTTTGGAAGCTTGTCCATACAGGCCTGCCATGCCTAGGTTCATCACCTCAGCACACACTTGGTGTAGAAATCGGCCTGCAAAGAAGCCGCAAGCGTAACGCAAGAGGCCATGAAGCACTTGCGCCTCATGCAAGTTTAACCTTCCAGTCGCTTTAATGCGAGCAAAGTGCTCCATCAAGCGTTCAACTCTGCCCGGCTTGTTACCGGCTACCACCTCTCCTTGGGCCACTTTACTCAAGTCCAAGTTGCACCCCAAAACATTGAAGGAGTCAGCAAAGGGCTGACCTTTGGGCCCGGTGCGCGCATGGCGCCAGCCGAGAATATCCAGCAGCTCGCTTGCACTATTGTCAGCATTCTCAGCCAGTTCTGTGGGGCTGAACATCGGGTAGTCATCATAGAAGTAGCTGCAGGGTATCAAAAGCATTTTGTTGAGAAGATACCACAAGCTCCTCGACACACGGTTGAAAGCGTAAACAGCTGCTGTCGACCCAAACATGAGGGCATTCGCAACGTAGAACCGGGGTTGGTGGTTCTTGTCATGGTAGAAAATGACAGCCAAATGGCGATGGCTAGGATGGACTGCTAGTTGTTTGTAGGCCTTGCTTAGGTCCAAACATTTGCCATGCCAGTTTCCGGTGCCATGTTTTGGCTTGCCTGACACCACAGCTTCTGCTATCCTCAGTGACAGGCCCACCACATAGTCAATGTCTTGGAGCTTGAGGTAGGAGGTGGAGGTGAAACCTCTGTTAAGTTGATCCTCCAGGCAGTCATCTATTGGTCGCAATTTTAACTCTGCACCCTGCACCAGGACAAAACGTCTGATGACCATCCAATTGCTATGGCCAAGGTGTTCAGTCACCTCACGCTCTGACACAAAGGGGCCTTCCATGAAACCCATGTCCAACTCTTCCTGGGCAGTCTGTTCCAAGTGCTCCACGTGGGCTGGATCGTCATGTTTCCTGAGCTTCCCTATATAATGGCTTCCTCCTCCAGAGTGCGGAGGCCTCCAAGTCTTGCTGAGTCAAACTTGCAGGTTTTAACTTTTCAGGAAAGCACGAGGGAGTGTCATGCGCCCCAACCAGCGCTTGTCGTGAAACTGTAAACCTCCATGTCATCAAACTCACACTTTTCAAGCAAGTGCTTCCAAACAAGAAGGCGTTTCCGAGCCAACACCTTTTGCAGAGACGGTGGAAAAGAGGCATGAAGCTCCGCCTCCTGCTGTTGAGTTTGGGCTGCAACCAACTTTGCTAGCAGCAGGTTCTTTTCCGCTCAACCTTTATTAGCTCTGCCGGGTACTTGAGGTTATAATCTAACGCATAGCTTGTAACCTTCTCCAAATGGTCAGTGGTGTCCATTGGGTGCAGGGCATTGGATGCCAAACTCAAAAACTGTTTAGGTGTATGGTAAAAACCAACCTTGTCCATTTGCTCCACTGCATGTTCCGGCTCCTCCCAACTTTCACCCCCTAAATGAGGAGCAACAATCTTTGAACCTGGTGCCAACGGTGTTGCGGACCGTTCCTTCACAAAGTGATGGAACTCAGGTATCAGGGGAGGATGCTTCCTCGACTGTTTGCCTTGGGCTGCAGTTGACATGTCATGGACGCGCAAGGGAGCTTGGAGAGCAAGGTTCCGAGCTTTTGCAACTTTCACCATGCACTCGGCTGCACGCTGGGCCAAGAGCATCGGGTAGGCCGCCTCAGCTGATGTGCCGAAGACCCATGACCCTGCTGTCCAACGTATCCCCCAAGGCTCGTGAGGGTGGTCACCTTTGCAAGTGGACGCCAGCGCTGAGTAAACATCTGGTGTGCCCAGCCATCCAGTTGCTTTGCGTCGTGTTGAGCCATGACAACAAGCATGAAAAACAACTTTCTGTAACCAGTTGAAAGCTCGTGCTGCGCTTTCTGAGTGTTGAAGTGACAATTGCACCAGGGCAGCCCACAACCAGCTGTTGGCCGGGTTCTCAATGCTGACCACAATGTCGTTGTCAACACAAAACAGCAAAATCTCAACTGCAAGGGCATACAACTTGTTTGCACTAGTCACCTTTGCCTGGTGATATTGACTGAGGTTAGGCAACCCAAGAGGGCAAGTTGCCGAACGCAATGGTGGAGGGTTTGGTGCCCCCTGCGCTTGCAACTGGGCCGACACCGGCTTCTCTCTTGCAAGACTCGCTGTCCCGCATGGCAAGCCCATGTGCACCCCTAAAAGGTTTGGGGACGCAAGCACATCCCAAAGGATCTTCTGGCCACTTTCGGAGGTGAGGTCCAACGTGACTATGGGAACCGAAGCGCCATTGCTTTCGTGGTCAATGCTCAAAACTGAAAAACCTGACTGTCTCATTGCTCTTGACAGGGACCCTCGTCCCGCAAAAATTTCCACAAATAAAGGTGGATCTGAATTCTGTACTGTTGGCGCACGTGGACACTGGCTTCAGTCTGTGTGGTTACACAGGTAATAAGGTTTCGGTCTGAAGCATCCACGTTTGTAGCATTTGTGATAGCCACGAGCGCACCTCTTCCCTGCTGGCCCTTTGAATTTGCACTTTCCAGACTGAAATGCAAAGCGCAACGGTTTTCTCTCATCATCGTGCGTAACGCACCCGTCAGGAAGTTGTGGTTTTGATGGGCCTGAAGGGGAAGGGTGTCCACCTTTGTTGCCACCTTTGCCGCCCTTGTCAATCTTCTGAACCTTTGTCGGCCTGCCATTGTTGTTGCTGGCCGCTGGAGCATCGTGAGAACGCTGGGCTGGCAGAGGTGTCAAAAACTGCAAAACCTCATTTGAATCTTTCAACTTCTCGAAGGCTTCATCCAAAGGTTTCTTCTGGTCAGGAGAGCTTGACAATCTCCCCATCGTCTGATGAGATGCCAATATGAACAGCTGTTTGTCGGGTTTCAGGATTTGTTGCAAGCTGATCTTCAAAAAACCTTTGGGTTGTTCACGGACAAGGTGAGTGAACAAAAATTGATTCCATGTCTCGGTCACCTCAAAGGAGGCCAAACCAGCAAGGTCCATGGCCAGGCTACGCCGCTGCCAAGCTGATCTCAATTTCAGCTCGGCGTTGGCCTCACAGGCCGGATCTGCGTTCTTGGAGCCCAGCTTCAACAAGCCTGCAGCATCAGTTGAAACTGCAGGATCCTTTCGGATCGTCTCTACCTCCTGTGCTCTGCTGCAACAACTCTCGGCCTTGACATAGGTTAAAATGCCTGTTTCCACCATGTCCACAAACAAGTCCACCATGCAGGTGATTCGAGGGAATCGTTGTTGGATTGAAAACCAATCCCCCCAGTCTCTTCTCCTGGGCTTGTTGCCGCGCCACACGCTCTGCAGTGGGCAGCTTGCGCGTAGCCACTGAGGGGTCGGGGTTTGATTCGACCCGTTGACGCACATCTGTCAATGCCATCGTATGCGATTCGAAAAATAATCGACGCAACGATGCAAGCTGATCATCACTGGGTGCTTCGTCCAGCAAGTTTGTCAAGAATTCACGAAGTGGTGCTTCGTCTGAACTCTGTGGCGAGTATGCAAATCCAAAAGCCAATCGGCCAAAAGTTGCAAACTTCTTCTGTCTTATCTTGTCAATGACCCATCTTTCCAGTCCAATCTGCTGTGCACGGTCAATGAATGCAGCCTCTGAATCTAAGGTGGAAGACATGGCTCCCACCAACAGGGCTGGGACACTGGTCCCTACGACTGGACTACAGGTCAAAAATTGAAAGTTGACA